TGATAGCAGGTATAACAGAACGAGCAAATCCAAATGCGCCCAGCTTGCAGCGGTGCACTCTCGCTCCTCTAAGAGTGCAAGGTCTGAGTCCAGCGTGAGGACCTGGCAAACTTATATCATCCAGTCTAAACAAGCAGGAAGGACCCTTACAGCTAAGACCATTTTGACGCGGCCTTTTGGTCGGATGAACCTAGCGCGCTCAAGGCCGCACGCAACTTTGGGAAGACCCAAGAAACTTTTGTGGGGGGGTAAACACTTTGGCCCTCAACCCTGGACGGGTATGACCAAGGATTTCGTGACCCAGAAACTGAGTGACAAGTCCGCTGAGTTAAAGAGAGCCTCTTGGCTAAGGTGACAACATTGTCAGCGATAAGCAGTGATGCCCACGGTTCAGACGTCAAAATAAGGATTATATGGATCAAACGAACCATGTACCACGAAGGAGTTTCTTTCAGGACTTTCGTGATAGGAGACTGTGTTTCGCCAATTGTTTGGAGACTCTGTTGAATGCGTTTGTGTTTGGGGGGCCCTAACCGAATCCAGAACATCCTATTTGAATTGATCCTCAGAGCCCTCAGTACTTTGGTGGCTCTATCGAGGACGCCTATTTTAATTTTCTGAGGGGCAGGTTTCATGAGTATGCAGGGCCCCTAGTCTATTCATGTCTATTCTAGGATGCTGTCAGGTATTTGTGTAAGCGCAAAGTGCGCATGGACAGATCCTATGGAGGCTTACAAAGTCATCTGGAACGCTTCGTGTGGAGGCTGCTGCGGGTACGGATGGATGCGATGGAACAATCACAGAGCACAAGTAGAATTTCCAAGGTTCAGAACAACAACGATAACTTTGGTGGGAATCACGCAAAAGGGCCAGACAGCAATATTTGCACTGGTCACGCTGTGTGTACAGTCACGGGGTCTGATGACCAGAGTGTAACGGTCAAAAATCATGGTATCCAGAGCCCAAATCCCAAGCCCTTGAAGCTTTGAATAGACCTCAATGCTCACAACTTCCACCATGCCTCTGCCACGGGCTGCTCCTCATACTACAAGAGCTAGGAACACAGAATTCCATGCCCACGCACATTTTGAACAACTCATTCCACCATGCACTGTTCGTCTGGGGTACAGCACATGTTAAGTCTGTTACACATGCAACACTCACAGAAAAGTAGCGGTGTGTTTTACCGTGCCACACCAAGCCTGTCGGTCTAGGCATCACAGCTTAGCACAATTCGAAGTCAGGCCCCCATAAAGGTATGTCTTTAGCATGGGCATTGCCTACATCAGGACCCCAACAGGACATCATGCTTTTTAGAAGCTGTCTTATGCATCCGGTTCGAGTCAAGGAGGCTGTTTACTTCACCCTGGTGCTGCTGTTGCTGCTCATGCGTTTGTTGCTGTTGTGATGGTTGCTCGTACTGCTATTGTTGATGTTGCTTCTAGTGCTGCCATTGCTGCTGCTGCTGCTGCTGCTGCTGCTGCTGCCATGGCGGTAGCGGTGCGGTGGCGGTGCAGTGGCGCTGGCGGTGGCGCTGGCGGTGGCGCTGGCGGTGGCGCTGGCGGTGGCGCTGGCGGTGGCGGTAGGGGTGGCGGTAGGGGTGGCGGCGAAGGCGGCGGTGTTGGCAGCGGCAGCGGTAGTGCTTCAGGAGAACTACTGTTCAGACAACAAATGTGCAAGCGGGACTCATTCCGACATGCATGTAATACAAACGCAGGCTGCAAAGCCCTCCAGTGTAAGTAGCCTTATCCCATTATGAGCTTGGTCTCATGCACTGCACAGGACCGTAGACCCCGCGAGCAGAAGAAAGATGAAGAAAGGATCAAAGGCATGATGACGACATCAGGACATCATACAGAACTCTTCAAGTCAAGAGCCTGATCATGCCACTGTGTCGCAACAAAATTCCAAGTTATCTTCCTGTAACATGCCGAATAGAACGGGTCTGCTAGCTGGTCCAGACAGCTTGCATTACGAAGTGGGTGGGCAAGGTTTGGGATTCACAAACCAGCGTTGAGCAGCAAGACTCAACAGTTGGAAGTCTCGCCCCCCGAAGAAGCAACCGTGGGTTTTCGGTCGGGATAGCAATCCAAATGCTAAGATATGGTGCTGCAGTGAATGCTACAAAATGAGGATTGAAACTTGTGAGCCAAGACATTCCCTCCATCAAGGAAGGTCCTCTGAAGCAGAAGGTATTCCCAGAGCGACGGTAGCAAAATGCCGTCAAACTGCAACTCCGAAATTACAGGAATTTCCTTGCTCAATTTGGATACTCACTCATGACTCACGGTCACAAACCACGGAACAGGGACAAGAAACCACTGAAAGCGTTGAGGGAAAGCAAGCAGAAACGTCATGAAGAGATCTACACTAGAATCTACACCTATATGTACGTCTGCGTATATACACATTAACACATATGCATCCACAAGCTCAAACCCGAAAACTCCAAAGCTAGAAATGACAGCAACCACTGCAGGCTTCTCAGAACAAGTTGTCAAGCTCAGACTAGCTGCAGATTATTCCAAACCCTAAACTACCAAGCGATGTCTCCAAACCGTTGGATGCCCTTCTTGGGAATGCTATAACATAGACTGAAGTCTTTGGGGGACCTGGAGACTCATCGGATTTAGCGCCGTGTGCCTTTCAAAACAAAGGCAACATATAATGACTCAAAGCTGATGGTCGAAACTCCAGCTTGCAGGATCAAAACAACCATGAGCCTGCCAGCGGCCGAAACGTCGTCGACAGCTCTGGGCCGCCTGTGGAGGGATTGGTCCTTAATTTGGGTTTGGGGAGTAGGGATGGAGTCTAGGGACTGAGAAGGGTTTCAGGAGTGGGGAGTGTTTTGTCGCGGTCTGTTTGTTTTTGAAACAGCAGTGGTTCCAAAAGAAGGGGCAGCCGTACTATCATGGAGTCATAGGAAGCCATAGAGGCCAGCATGGGCAGACCTACTCGGAAATCCTGCACACGTGGGCTCAGGCTTAAAAATTCCAGAGTTGGCCAATGGCCTGTTTCAGATGAAAACAAGCCAGAAAGTCGGCATTGAAAAAAGCAGCTGTCAAACTTCAGGGGCATACGTGTAGTCTTCGAGATTCAGTTTTTGGCCTTTGTTGTCTGCGACTCGAGTAAGAGGAAGCTCAGAGGAGCAGCTGCCCACAGCAGTGCAACATTCCGCACTGAAAGCGTCCAGATACACACAGTCAGAAGGTACATGATCGGGAAGGTCCTTCACAAAAGGTACAAGGGCCCAATGTTGCGTATATGACGTATATGTCACGGGTAGCTGGGGTTCATGGCTGCCCTCGGCATCCTTATGATAAGGCAGAAATCTTGAACGAACTCTGCAGCGCTCAAGAGCAATAGTGTCACGTCTCGATGTTCCAAACGGAACACCGGAATTCCTGCATGGTCGTGCCAATGACAGCGATTTCTAACAAAAAGCAGCCATTCAATCATAGTCAGACACCTACCGGCTCAGGCTTCAAAGGTGACACGGATACCCTTCGCCCTCTGACTGACAGCGTCGCAAGAGCCACCCGCAGAGTGCGTATCTTGGCTAATCTGTGTTCGCGCTACGGAATCAAATATGACCACCGTGCGCGTGCCCTATTTACCTCCTAGCAGCCCATGCACAAAACAATAGACTTTTCCACGTGGATTGATTGGGATGGCAGAGCTTAAGACATTGGAAGTGCTCACCTAATTGCTTACATTGACCGTCCTTATGGGGGTATCTTGGAGGAAGTCATGGAAATGTTCAAGCCGCGCAATGTCTTTTAAACCTCCGCTGCAGCTGGACCGACTTGTCCGATGCCAAACAAATCGTCCTCAGCGGCTTCATGTGGTTCGGGGTAGTGTTGGAATGCTTTGTAGCATGCCCTACACCTACTTGCAGAGCGCCGGATTTCCAAAGTACATTTCAGGGTCAGGGGTTGCACGCATGCAAACGTTGCACTCCTACAGCTTTGCACTGACCGCGACTAGCTCTATGTACCTCATTGTACCTCATGACCCCAATTTTGGGCCCCTACCAACTCCTTGACACTCTACAGCCCACCCTACTCGGCAGCCAACAAGCCCGGGCATCAGCATCCTAGAAAGCAAACCCTTCGGTGAAACTTGCACGATCCTCCCTTGTGCACGGTTCTGCCTTTTGTTGCTGTGCTTTAGCCTCTTGAAGCCCCTACAGCCTATCCTAGACCAGTTGCCAAGGCTCATGTTTGCGGATGCTGCGATGGAGGTCCCAGCCACCAGGAAGATAGCGAGGCTTTACCTTACAGCATCATGACGCAGGAGTGTGGGGCTTGGGAGAGGACTTGCCTCGTGCTGCAAAAAGCCGAACTTGAGCCCATCCTAGGTGGTTTCTCGTGCTTTCATAAGTTTCAACCCTGCAGTTCAGGTTCGCTACCATACTCTCCGCGCATCATTATGTCTTAGCATGCCTATTCTGGTTCTTGACTCCTTGTGGGCATTCTTCTTCTGTGGCTGGAACTGGAACATCCCAATATATGCGATAACCGCCCAGACTCTTGCACACCCTGAACCCCAAACTCACCCAAACACGCTGTCGAGGAAGGTCTGCCGCCAGTCCAAGACAAATTGAAAGCACCTCGCGCCAAACTGTCGACCTAGCTTCTTGTGGGCATGCCAGATTCATAGGGTGTCGTAGCCCATTACTTGGAGGGAACTTGAACGTTCAGGAGAGGGTGGCCTGTGCGGGCAATTACCCTGTAAGATTTGGGACAGCGGGGATACATGCGGATCAAAAGGAGATTGCGGGGTTACTATCAAGGATTGTTTGCTGACATGTTTGAAGAATACATATGTTTGCTGACAGTGTGTATATACTGAATACAGAAGGATTACCAACATGTTTTTTTAGCACTCCACTTTGAATTTCGGCTCCGGAGGGCAAAGAGAATATCCTATCATTGCTCTGGCTTGAGTATGCCTCCAAGTGCTACCACTTCAAGATCAGGATTGGATGTGCAAAGCGCCTGGCTTCCAAAGCGTCTGCATCTTCTCCAGATGCCTCCACGCACAAAGAGGGCACATGCAACATGTAGCCCTGCAGGTGCTGCGAAATTGCAACAGCTTACGAGCAGGGAGAGTCTCTAGCCAAAAACAAAACGACTCTTTCTAAGCTCTTGACCTTGTACGGGACACCGCCTACACCCCAAGCTACCATCATCATCCAAACGCACAAATCCAACAAGCCCATACAGTACAGTGTCGGTGGGGTCAGATCTGCTCCCATTCCCATGCACGGCAGGATAAGTGAACACAACCTTTTTCACTTCGTTTCAGTACTGAAACGATTCTCATGCAGGTCGTTCACCACTGCTACTCCGTTGAGCGAATTCTGAACGTCGTCCCATCTCAGGCACCTGTACCGCTCTGACTCTTCCTTTCTCAAGAAACTACCCGTAACTTATAGCTGGCAAGGCCCTTGAAACCTGAAGTGGTCCCCCAAACCTGCAACAAGAGCTGCTGCCCACACACCAGAAACGCAATGGACAACATTTTTCAAGGAGACCCCAGTAAGCCGAAGATGGCCCCCTTGAAAGCTCAACAGATAGACGGAAGGCTGAGGGGCTAAGGGCTAAGGATGAGACGGACAATATCAATGTCATTTCCAACTTAAAGCGAACATAGATACTATTAATCGCTTCCCCTTAACATTAAAGAACGCCCCCTCCCCTGGTATCAGATAATGGCCTCAACACCCACTTTCAAAAACGTAGTCTTCAGGATTTGTTGAGCTCCTGAATTTATTAGTTAATATGGGGGGGTGGTTTAATATTAGGGGGAAGGGATTTTACTTGGGGTGTGTGATTGGCCCAAGCCCTAGCGAAATCCGAGCACAAATCTAGGATTCCAATGATGCTTACGGCATGAACCCTAATACTCGAATGCATCTGACGGCTCACCTCTGTAATCTGAAGATGCTCAGCAGAGGCAACCTCTGGCGAGACGTAGCCTTCCACGGGCTCCTGCAAAAAGGGCTTGGGGTCCATAGCTGCGATCTTCTGAGTACTACGAAAAGTGAGAGATCAGCTCTGGAGCCGCTGACCCTGAAGGTCACTCTAATTGAGATGCCAAAAGTTTGGGTCCGAGCACATAACGTAGATGCTCTGGGTCCTGCAAGTCATGCTGGGATTTCCTTCCGACGAAGATCCGAACATAGTAAATGCTCACACCAAACTGACTGGTATGAACTGCGAAAATGAAGCCTGTCACATGAGTCACCTTACTTAATCCGAGCACTGGAACAATAAAAGGGACCATACTTGAAGAACAATTTTGGGGTAGAATTAGGCTCCAAAGACTAGCTACAATTAGGTGGCTTTTCGTATGAAGAACATCTTTTGGGGAAGCTATCCTGATAGAGATTCGATTTAAGCAAGTAGTTTAAACTACATTTACTGCAAAAAGACTGGCAGCTGCTGTTCAGTCTTGAGTTTGCTCTGCTGCATTGCACTTGCTCTGTCCTATTCAGTCTTTAATAGAGCTCCAAAGGCCTCAACCATTCTCATAATCTGGCGCCCGTGCTTCCTTATGCTGGTGGCGGTGGGGGCCCCCCAAATTGTTCCAGTGCTCGGATTAAGCCATACACAAGTTCAAATTCCAAGCCTGTACCAAAGCCTATGAAGTTACAAGACCTCATACCCTAAGCTTGCATGTCTGTATATAGCCCTCTCGATACTTGTAAGATCGAAAGAATTTAGACGGGTCGCCCTTTCAAAAGAAGAAACTCCTGGCGTAGCCCCAGCAGAGCGCAACGGGAGAAAGGGGATGCCAAATTGGCGCTCATGTCGAGCTGTCCGCCAGTATGCCAAAGCTAGGTGGCCTCTAAAGCATTTTCGACAGGCTGACAGGTACTATTCAGCCAGTGACCCCTGTAGAGCATTGGATTGGCGTGAACAAGCCCCAGTAGCCCTAAGAAGAATCCCCTGCCAAGCCCTGCACCCTCGTGCTCGTCACATTCCCGTTCTACGGAACCTTCCAAGAAACCACCTGGGGATACCGGGCTTAATGCGTTGTCACGGAGGCTTGGTAAGCTGTCTCCCCCAAACCTAAAGGACCTACTGCGAACATCACTTGAATGTGAAGGCCTTGACTTCGAGCGCCTTGGCACTTGCCAGCTCTGCCTGCGTCAAGCATTCGCCTGGAGAAGGATTCTATTTGGGACCTCAGAGCTCAACATCTGAACCATTGGTCTCATAGGGCTTAGAATAGTTGTTGTAATGGGTTGTAAGGTTTCGCTGCTCCCCACTTCGGCGACTGCCGGCTTTCTCCATGATGGTTGATCGAGAGGAGCTGCTTTCAACTAGGCAAACGAAACCGGAAGTCTGAACCCAAGCCCAAACCCCAACCCTACACCACTTAAGTTTCGCACCCTATGACTTTGATGGCTTTGGGCACCCACACAATCCAGACCTCTGCTGGAATCCACAATCAGCGCTCTGCCCCAGCAGTAGCAGAAGTGGGACCACTTCTTGGGACTGGCACCTTCTGCCCTGACTGTTTGGTTTACAACATGTATTAATGTCAACATGACAATACGTACCAGCTGCTTTGATGCATACATTTTTTGGATTGCTGCTTCTTGTGTCGGCACTAACACCACCATCGCCACCAGCGGCTAGTACACGATTCATGGCTAGCTCTCTGCGGTAGCTACTTCTACCATGATCTCCGCTGCTTGACCATCTTTTGGCCTCGTGATTTGCCAAGGAAATCTCGGATGACAGCTTCCTTCTCACAGCGTACCTGGGGAATGCAATTCTGGCAATGGTCACGGAGGGAACAAATGCTGGAATAATGAAATCGCGATGGGGAGGGCTCTGTAGCACTACGAAGTCTTTGTATTCAGAACCTAGCACTGAGACTCTTGTAGCGGCCCTCCACGCCTTCTACAAAGATGTGTTGCTTTCTTCGATATCTATATATATATATAT